GACGCCGCTCAACGCAAGAGCGGACGCTTATATTCTGCTCTCTTAAACTAGGAATCAGTGGAAATGAGTCTACTCTGGCTGCTAAAGATTTCACAAAAACAATGTGCAATCAGGTCTCCACGTATGTGTACCGACTGAGTCAAGAGGCTATTCTTCGCGTAGTATTACTGTGATTGCGCAATTACAGATGCTTGGACTAGCGCATCTATCAGCTTCATCATTCCGAGCAAGCCCGAAAATACGCAAATGGGAAGAAACAGGGCAGGCAGGATAACTTAGCTGTTCACCATAGCGTTTCGTGTTAAGGAGAGGGGGGGGGCGGTAGTAGAGTAGCAGTAGTAACAGCAGCAGCAACAGTACTGGAAAACAGTAGAAAACTACGTTTTCTTCTCGTGTAGTCACAGAGAATGGCACACTCAGCCCAGGGCCCCAGTATACCTGCAGCTTTTCGGCTGGTTCATTCAATCAGTCTTCACTGGTGGTCGAACGCTGTGCTGGAAAAAGCGTCTTTCCTTCGGGAAGGTGAAAGGTTGGGTGTCCGGGTAGTTTGGGGCATTGCCAGGTCGAATGGTATAGTGGTGGTTGTCTGCCACAGAAAGAACACCGGTTGGGGTACCGCGTAAAAAGTTTAAAGCTCCGTTAATTTCTATACAATCTAGCTATACTGGGATCGATACGCAGCACCTCCACCTTTTACAGGTGTGCAGTGTCTTATTAACAAGACCATTAACATTATGTCTGATGTGCTATTTACGCCCGACGTTTTTCCGTTACAGGAAGATTAAAAATATGCCGTCGCTCACTCCAATATAACAAGGCGCCAAACGAAAAGGTAGTAAACAAAAGGGTATTTTGTGGGCTCCCCGTAAAAGGCTTTATCATTTATCTAGAGAGGCAGTTATGCTATAAACAAATATATTGTAACATAAAAATATTTTTCGCCGTTTTATCTTCTCAAAGAACCAATCGGGAACAATATGTAGAGATGTGCTAATGAAAGCACAAAAAAAAATTCATGTGGTAATTGATGAAGGAAGAATGTAGGCTGAATTCACGCACAAGTGTTGGATGGTGTGCACCTATCTTTTGGAACTTCAGGATGTGTTTTTAGTGTACGATGCACTGCTCAAACTATACTATGGAGACATATGATAACACGTGAAAAATGAAAGTCATTCCTCGCCAGATCTTTGCTTATAAAATGATGCACCGCTTAGTTCCGTTTTCATTCTGTCCACTTAATTCTATATACAAAGGGAATTCCCCAAATGCCACATGATCGTGCTGTAAAACTTCTTAATGCTTCATCATTTAGCTTCAGTCACTTGCTGTCATTGCTAAATTCTATCGCTTGAAGCGAAAATGAAATTTGGTGTCTTCGATTGAACCATTTGACCAAGTTATCATGTGCGACCACATCTGAGTACGAGTGGCAGCGGGCACGCACAATATTGTGTCTCTTAGCATTTCTTAGCAAATTCCCCGACTTTGAGCGTATCTATCTATCTATCTATCTATCTATCTATCTATCTATCTATCTATCTATCTATCTATCTATCTATCTATCTATCTATCTATCTATCTATCTATCTATCTATCTATCTATCTATCTATCTATCTATCTATCTATCTATCTATCTATCTATCTATCTATCTATCTATCTATCTCTAGCCGCCTACGATATTTAGCTCTCCTGGCCGTTTCGATAATGGTATTATACCAAACTTGGTATGGCATAACATGACTGTATGAAGAACATATTTGACTACTCATAACATAAAAATCATGACACATATTTCATGAATGTCATGATTTACATTTCATTATCCTGCAGCTCTTGCGGTGGTTTCTTTCACATGACATGTTGCAAAACTGGTGTGGTATGGCATGATTGCATAGCGAACACAAGCGACAGACCCTAATATGAAAATCATGACATCATGCCATGACATGCGTGTCATGTTACAACATGGGTACATGCAACGCTCATGATGCGTTCGCGGCCGTTTAGCTAGCGTCACATATTCCAAATTTGGTATTACATTACGTGAATGAATGACGAAGGTATGTGACTGGTGCAAACATGATAATCATGATATGCGTGTCATGTAACAACATGTCTACATGCCACATGCCACATTGATGATGCGCTCGCGGCCGTTTCACCAGGTTCACATATGCCAAATTTGGTATTACGTGACGCCAATGCAATCAAGAAGGGTGTAAGGCAGGGGGACACAATTTCCCCAATGCTATTTACCGCGTGCTTACAGGAGGTTTTCAGAAGCCTAGAATGGGAACAGTTAGGGATAAGAGTCAATGGAGAATACCTTAGTAACCTGCGCTTCGCCGATGACATTGCATTGCTGAGTAACTCGGGGGACGAATTGCAACTCATGATTACGGAGTTAGACAAGGAGAGCAGAAAGGTGGGTCTTAAAATTAATCTGCAGAAAACGAAAGTAATGTACAACAACCTCGGCAAGGAGCAGCGCTTCGAGATAGGTAATAGTGCACTTGAAGTTGTGAAAGACTATGTCTACTTAGGGCAGGTAATAACCGCAGAGCCGAACCACGAGATTGAAGTAACTAGAAGAATAAGAATGGGGTGGAGCACATTCGGCAAGCACTCTCAAATTATGACAGGTAGTTTGCCACTATCCCTCAAGAGGAAGGTATATAACAGCTGTATCTTGCCGGTACTTAGCTACGGAGCAGAAACCTGGAGACTTACAAAGAGGGTTCAGCTTAAATTGAGGACGACGCAGCGAGCAATGGAAAGAAAAATGGTAGGTGTAACCTTAAGAGACAAGAAGAGAGCAGATTGGATTAGGGAACAAACGGGGGTGAAGGATATCATAGCTGAAATCAAGAAGAAGAAATGGACATGGGCAGGGCATGTAGCGCGTAGACAGGATAACCGTTGGTCATTAAGGGTAACTGATTGGGTTCCCAGAGAAGGGAAGCGGGTTAGGGGGAGACAGAAGGTTAGGTGGGCAGATGAGATTAAGAAGTTTGCGGGTATAAATTGGCAGCAGCAAGCACAGGACCGGGTTAACTGGCGGAACATGGGAGAGGCCTTTGTCCTGCAGTGGACGTAGTCAGGCTGATGATGATGATGATGACGCCAATGCATGATGATGAAGGCTTGAAGGTTTGTGACTGGTGCAAACATGATAATCATGAGATGAGTGTCATGTGAAAACATGACTACATGCTAGAGTAAAGGCGCCAATACATTTCGACGCGACGCGGTGCGCGTGCTCACCGGCGTTCCTTTCGTCGCGTCACGCCGGCGTGGCCACGCCAGGCGCCGGTCCTGCCATATACTCGCAGGCGCGCGCCGCGCTGTGTTGCATTGACGCATGCGCGTTTCAGTACGTCCATCGTCCCTCCGTCACGAAAAGAGGGAAACGCAGTGTTGTCTGCGTAACGCATCAGCGCGAAACGCAGCATGTCGCAATTCGCACCGGTTACCGTTGGGCCGCGCCGACGGGCGCTGGTCGCGCCTGGTGTCAAACTATAGAGTGCTCGCGTTTTGCTAACGTAGCGTCGCTGTGTCCAGCGAGCGCGTGCGTCAACGCTACATTGGAGTATATTGGGCCCTCCATGATGTGTTCGCGGCCGTTTCGCTAGCTCCGCATGTACCAAATTTGGTATCAGGTGACGTGAATACATGACGAAGGTAAACGACACATCTAAACCTGATAATCCTGACCCGCATGTCATGTAAGAACATGACAACATACCACGCTCATAGCGTGCTCGCGGCCGTTTCGCTAGCGTCACATATTCTAAATTTGGCATCACGTGACGTGAATAAAGAACGAGGGTAAACGACACATCTACACATGATAATCATGACACGGAAGTCATGTACGGCGTCATTTACCTCCACATTGTAACGTTGTGCTGCTTTTAAAGGGACATATCAACATTTCTCAATCGTGCTTCGCATATCATCGATTCCCACTGTACATGGGATTTGCAAATTTTTTTGGTGCAGACTCCACTGAACGAATCTGTAGTCTTGAGAACATAAACTACAGTTATGGCTATTTCTCGTAGTTTACAAATATACATTTCCTATGTATGGTGCCTCCAGTTTAGCTCGATTTTTTTCCTTGAGGGTAACCACCGGCAATTCTTTATAGAACCCTCATAGAAATATAGCTTCTGAAACTGCCTGGAATGAAATTGTGTATTTCTTGTCACTGCTAATCACATTTTTCATTAAGGTTGAAATAAGGAATATATACATGGGAAGTAAAAACAGCGCAAAAATATAGAGAAGGACAGAGGAAGAGATGACCTTGTCGTCTTCCTCTGTCTTTGTCTATATTTTTGCACTGTTTTTACTTCCCAAGTATGAACCACCAACTAGCCCAACTTTCGCTAATATTGAAAGCAATATATACTCGGTTAAAAGAGCAAAAAATTATAACATGCAGGTTACATCTGCTTACAAAGCACAACCAGAAGGTATAATATATTATTTGTGCAGACACTCCGCATTGCATAATCCGTTGTTGTTTATCACTAAAGTTACAAATTTTCTGCGTACCATCAGCTTCTTTTTAACCTTTACCACCTGTCTGATTTTTCTTGCAAAAAGCTTCCTTGACATACAGTTAAGCTGCGACTCCGTTCATACCAAAAATTTGTCTCGGCCACAGAACACTTGTTTATTATTCTTATACGTAACTAAATCATCGTGGAGTAATAATATTGACAACATGATAGTATCTGGCCTGCACCGCGCACCAGCTTCTCGCGCGTGACACCAGTTCATTAAGAAGTGAAAGACGACGAGAAGGCACCACGCATTCTTACACGGCAGCCCGTACCTCTTCTGGAGGAGCTGGATATCTGGCTGCCAAGACTGGACCTACCTCAAGCAGCGGTAGAAGCCCCAGCTGGAACTCGCGCACAACAGGACGTTACAGCGCCGAGCGCGTCCCCAGGGTCGTCGTCCCGGCTACCCGGAGCATATCGTTTCATGGAGGAAGAGGCCGAAGTCTCCATAGTGGAACACGAGCACCGACGACAGCGGGACGTGAAGCCCTTTTTGTACGGCGCCGCGCTAGTGCTCTTCTTGTCGGCCTCGTTCTGCGCGGCTGCCTACCTGCCAGGAGTGTTCTCGCGACGCATCTACGTCATGGACGAGGTCGTGTGTGCATCGAGCAGCTGCCGGGCACTCTCGAGGCTCATCAACACCTCCGTCAACGGAGACCTGGACCCGTGTGACGACTTCTACGCCTACGTGTGCGACGGCTGGCGCCGCTCGCACTCGCTCCGCCCCTTGGAGTCGCGCCGAAGCGTCTTCGACGAGGTCGAGCAGAGCGTGCGCGCTCGCCTCCACGACGCACTCTGGAAAACGTTTCGCAAGAGCTTCGGTAACCGCACTGGTGGCTCGTTCGTCAAGCTAGCCATCGTGTACGTCGCCTGCGCCAAGTCACTGACGCCCGAAGGGAACGGAGTCGTCTCGATGCGCAAGTTCCTCAAGAACATGAACTTGGCCTGGCCCGACGAGGAAGTCCCGCAAGGCGGTAATGCTACCGACCTCCTGGAGCTGTTAGTCACATTGTCCATGAGATGGGACGTTAGCGTACTGTTCTCGTACTCAGTCAGGTCAATGAGCAAAGAGAAAGGAGCCGTCGTGCTGGGACTTCCGGCGCCACTTATACCAGGCCCACTGACGGACGCGAAGAAGTTGCTGTACGAGAAGCTTATTGTGAGCATCGCATTCCTGTTCGGCAGAAAAAGCGAGTACAGCGACTTCGCGCGGCGCCTTGTGGCCGTGGAAGAGGACATCGCGCGTCTGCGGGACCAAGACCACGTCCTCCTCACGTACATGGTGAAGGACCTGGGAAACCTTTGTGCAGACTTTCCATGGAAAAAGTGGATGTCTGCGTTGAACAAGAACCTCCCAGCTCAGGCGGCGCTAACGCCACAAAAGTCGGTCATCGTGCAGCACCCGGCGTACATAGGACGGCTGCTGACGTACTTTCTCGGCCACGAATACCCGGAAGACATCAAGGCGTATTTGGCCCTTCGTGTGCTGCTCAGGTACGGCCAGGCGATCTACGACATCCGCCACGTCCAAGAAATCGTTCTGCACGCCGAGAAGGAGATTCCCGCTGATGAGGTGATGCGGACGTGCCAGCAGTGGCTCGCCGACCTGATGCTTGACACGTGGAACTCGTTCGTCTCCCAGTCGCTCGCCAAACGCGCCGACATCGAGCGACTCACGCAGCTCGTGTCGGACATCAAGAACGTCTTTTACCGCCGCGTTCGCCGAGCCGAATGGATGGACGCGGCCACCAAGAACATATCTGTCCAGAAGGCCCAGAATATCGCCTTCAATATACCGAACATCGAGACAGACGCAGCCCTCGACAAGGCGTACGAATCGCTCCTGTTGAACTCGCGGGGCGGAAGTGGCAGCTTCCTCGACTTGGTCGTGCGGCTGGTGGAGGTCAACCACGAGAGCAACAAGCTGTCTGTGTACGGCGTTATCGGCCGCAGCGATTCCGCCACGGTGCACTCCAGGGTCAATGCCATGTACGTGTACAGCCTCAACGTGGTCAACGTGAACGCGGCGTTACTGGCGATGCCTTTCTTCACTCAGGGTGCACCCCTGTCAGTCTCGTACGGCAGCCTGGGCGCTATTGTGGCGCACGAGATTATCCACGGCTTCGACGTGAGCGGCCGGCTGTACGACGAAGTCGGCAGCTTCGAGGACTGGTGGAGCAACGCAACCAATGCCGCGTATCGCGAGGCGAGCGCTTGCTTCGTCGAGCAGATGCGAAGCCTCGCCTCGTCAGCGAAAGCCGGCTCGGTGACGCTCGAGGAGAACACAGCCGACAACGGTGGCGCACGCTGCGCGTACGAAGCGTACGTGCTCGCGTCAGAGCGAGTCCCCGTCGTCGTTCAGCTGCGCGGTCTGGAAGCGCTCGAAGACGAGCAGCTCTTCTTCGTCGCTTACTGCTACAAGTTCTGCGGTATTGAGCGGCCTTCCTCGGCGACGACGCAGCGCCTTGCCACGCACCCCGCCGACAAGCTGCGCTGCAACGTGCCACTGCTCAACATGCCCGAGTTTGCGGCCGCCTTTGAATGCGAGCCTGGAGCAGCCATGAATCCTGCGCGTAGGTGCGCAGTCTGGTAGCCGCCGCGAACACATGTTGGGACAATTCGTTCGCCGCGAATCGCTGCGTTTCGCTTCTGTGGTATAAGGCGTCGCTACCGACTACAGCGCTGTGCGGTGGCACGCGCTCGGTGGCCGCCACGGGGAAGAAGGAAGAAGATGAAATAAACAAGATGTCTCCGTTTATGCTGTGCTATTCATTATGCACGATGTAACATATTTTGGCGACGAGGATTCACCAGCCCATGTGCTACCGGCCTGAACCTCATCTGTGCCCTCGTTTATTGCCTACCATCTTCTACGATGAGTATTTCGGGGCTACAGCCGCCACCTCCGTTCCTGTCGTCACCTGGACACCCGGACATTCCATGGGAGCAATGGATCCAGGCTTTCAAGAATTACATGGTTGCTTCGGGCGCCTTCGACCTACCTGCCATTCGTCGGAAGGCGATCCTGCTCAACTGCTTGGGCTTGGAAGGACAACGTATCTTCCAGACTCTGACGACTACTGACGACCCGTGCCTCGTGCCTGCGAGCGCTGCGGCAGGTACACTAACGTCCCCTAGTCCTGATGTGTTCGACCGCGCCATCGCGACGCTGGAAGGTCACTTCAAAACCACGTTGAACGTCACTGCAGCGCGTCACCGTTTCCGTCAACGTACGCAGGCCCCAGGTGAGACTGCGGCTGATTACGTCACCGCGCTGAGAAGTCTTGTAGGAGCATGCAATTTCGCTGATCTAACGGACGACATGATACGCGACCAGCTCATAGAGAAAACCACAAGTGGATACTTACGTGAACGCCTTCTGCTGGAAGAGTCTCTCACGCTTTCTAAGGCTCTTACCATTGCCAAACAGCATGATCAAGCGACTAATGAAGCAAGAGAACTTGCACAAAATGACTTGCAAGTTCATCGTGTAAAAGATACTTCAAATCACAGAGAACGGCATTGTAGCACATGTACTTGCTATAACATGCACGGTCAAAGTCGCATATCTCCGAAAGAGCAAGTATGTTATCGTTGTGGTTCTACGGCACACCTTGCAAATAGCTCTCTGTGCAAGGCCAAAGCACATAGGTGTCGACAATGTGAGAAAATTGGCCATCTTGAAAAGGTGTGCAAGTCATTGCGGAAGTTTGAGAAGAATGTTCAGCATGTAGCGGAAGGTAACGATACAGCTGATCCAGACGACCATTTAAGTGCTTGTCAGATCTGGAGCCGTAAGAAGGGAATTTACGCAGCGTTGGAAATAGAAGGAATTTCTGTACCATTTTTGATCGATACAGGATCATCGGTTTCGATCCTGGCCGAAGAACTTTACCAACGCTATTTTTCTAAAGCGTATCCACTGAAGTCTACATCCGTCCAGCTTCTCGATTATTCAAAGGCAGCAATTCCTATACAAGGATGCTTCATTGCTACTGCCTCATTTCACGGCCGATGCACTTCTGTTCTACTATACGTTGTGCCTGGGGGAACGACCATTCTGGGATTAGACGGCATCGCTGCTCTGGATATGAAGATCCAAGGGTCACCGCTCAGGTGTCTTCTAATGACGCAAGAAACTCCGGTGCTACCTCCAGAATTACGTTCTGAGTTTGAGCACCTATTTGCAAAAGAGCTGGGAACTGTGAGAGGTTTCACTCACAAGGTCAGAGTTCGCGCGTCTGTACAACCGGTGGCCAGCAAACTGAGACGACTGCCACTTGTCATTCGCGAGCAAGTCTCGGCAGAAGTTCAGAAATTAGAAGCTCAGGGCATCATTGAGCGTGTCGACTCTTCTGAGTGGGTCTCCCCTATTGTCGTAGCCAGAAAAAAAGACGGCTCGATTCGCATGTGTGTTGACTTACGGGAGCCAAACAAAGCTGTGGTAGTAGACAGTTTTCCTTTGCCACAAACTGAGGAGCTCCTGAACAGCCTGGCTGGGGCACAGCGTTTCTCGAAGCTAGACTTAGCTTCTGCATATCACCAGTTACCGCTCAGTTTAGAGAGCCGTGACCTTACCACGTTCATCACTCACGATGGACTATTTCGCTTCAAGAGGGTTTGCTTCGGACTGGCATCGGCGCCATCAGCGTTCCAGAAAATGATGCACATGATCTTGAAAGGGTGCAAATGTGTCCTATTTTACATTGATGACATCATCGTGTATGGGCGATCCCGAGAGGACCATTTGGGAAACTTGCGCGCTGTATTGCAACGTCTTTCTGATGCTGGCCTCCGGCTCAACAACAAGTGTGTCTTTGACGTGGCAGAGTTGACTTTTCTAGGTCACGTTGTGAGCGCCAAAGGATTATTTCCGTTGATGTCATCCATTGAGGCGATAACAAAGGCACCATCACCTACAAATATTAACGAACTCCGCTCGCTACTGGGGCTTGCAGGCTTCTATTCCAAGTTCATTCCTCATTTTTCGGATGTTGTCGAGCCAATGCGCGCCTTGCTACGAGGACAAGCCTCTTTCGTTTGGAGTGCGGCAGCACAGAGCAGTTTGGAGCGCCTGAAATCTCTGCTCACATCTTGCGAAGTGCTTCATCTTTTCGATCCTCACTTGCCTGTGTTCGTTACAACTGATGCTTCAGGATATGGATTAGGTGCAGTACTTCAGCAAGACAACGGGACCTCACTGCAAACTGTCGCATTCGCCTCCCGCACACTTCAACCGCATGAGCGGAAATACTCAGTCGGCGAACGTGAGGCCCTTGCCTGTGTTTGGGCTTGCGAACACTGGCACGTTTATCTATGGGGACGACCTTTCATCTTACGAACGGATCACGCAGCGCTGGTTACGCTTCTTTCGACGAAAGGCACCGGTCACCGACCATTAAGGATTGCGCGCTGGTCCTCACGGTTGCTCTGCTACAACTATACCGTCGAATACAGGAAAGGTAGCGAAAACGTCGTGGCTGACGCTCTCTCCAGGCTACCCGTCCAGAGTTTAATCCGCGATGCACCAGAAGAGGAATTTATCTGTTTGTTGTCTCCCGTAGTTACCATGCCAGAACTTCAAGAAGCAAGTGCCAATGATCAGATTATCTGTGAAGTTAAGCACTTCACGACTACTTCTTGGCCTGACAAGAAATCACTGTCAAAAGAATTGCTACCTTACTTTTACGTGAAGGCTGAACTCTCTGTTGTAAGTGATATCCTATGCCGGGGTGACAGGATTGTCGTGCCTGCAACGTTGACACGCCGCCTTATGGATCTGGCCCACGAGTCACATCCAGGCATTAGTCGTACCAAAGCTCGCCTGAGAGAGTCCTATTGGTGGCCATGCATGGATAGTCACATTGAAGAACTGGTGCGCACATGCGTGATTTGCCAGTCTTGTGACAAGTCCGCACGTACCTTTCCAGCGCCACTGCAACCTGTTCCTCTTCCTGACGCGGCGTGGGAAAAAATTGCCATCGACATTGTGGGACCTTTCACGCAAGCTTCGGCCGACTGCCGTTTTGCGATTACTGTTATTGACTATTATAGCAAGTGGCCTGAAGTGGCGTTCGTGCGAGATGCGACCACGTCTACAGTGAAGAAGTTTTTACTTGAACTTTTTGCGCGAGAAGGCTACCCACGTAGTATTGTATCCGATCATGGACCACAGTTCTCTTCAGCAAGCTTTGACGAGTTTCTCACGGAGCGTGGAATAACGCACTACAACTCTTCCGTGTATTACCCACAAGCTAACGGCTTGGTGGAGAGATTCAATAGGGTGCTGAAGTCGTACATTCAACTAGCCCTGCTTGAACGTCGTGACGTACGAACAGCCATGCTTGATTACCTGCAAGTATATCGCTGTACGCCTCACGCGACTACTGGTGCGACACCCGCTGTTCTTCTTCATCGACGCCAACCTCGCACCAGACTTGACATATTGGGATTGCCCGACAGATGCTTCAGCACGGACCCGTCAAGGGCGATTGAACAGCTACGAGAGCATGTCAAAAAGAAGCAAATGATCTCGAAGAGCTACACCGATGAAAAACGTGGAGCCAAGGAACCCAGTTTCGTCGTTGGTGATTACGTGCGCGTTAAGACAACTGCAGCTCACGGTAAGCTGTCTTCACAATTTTCCGCGCCCAAGAAGATCATTGGAAAACGGGGACCGGCCTCGTACCTTTTGGACGATGGGCGTGTGTGGAACGCATCTAAGTTAATCGCAGTTCACTCCGGAGCGGTCAACAAAATGAAATCGGGCACCCCTGCTGTTATGAACTGGACACCTGCATTTAATCGGTCTTCTCATGCATTACAGCCTGAAACCGCTGCCCTTATGAACTGGTCCCCTGCATCTGATCGGTCATCTAGTGCGCCCCAATGGGACACATCAAGAGCGGATGGTCATGAAAGGGCAGACCCCGTAGCATCTCCACCAGACGGCACGCAAGCTTTGACCAGTCCAGGATTTAATGCGCCTGCAAGGAAAAGCAAGCGTAAAAAGAAGACCCCAAAGAAATTGAAGGACTTCGTTAGGAAGTAGACAAAAACAGTTTTGTGTGTTTCTACCATTTATTTTTATTTTATTTTATTTTTTTTTTTTGCAAGAGGGGATATGTGGTATAAGGCGTCGCTACCGACTACAGCGCTGTGCGGTGGCACGCGCTCGGTGGCCGCCACGGGGAAGAAGGAAGAAGATGAAATAAACAAGATGTCTCCGTTTATGCTGTGCTATTCATTATGCACGATGTAACAGCTTCTTATGTAGCTGAAGCCAGCATATGTTCGCAACCCGCCTGTCATTAATAGGCGAATAACTTTTCACTAATTTTCACATTTATTGTGCCTGAAGAATGATATGAAATGCTGAATTATAAGGGGACATCATGACGCAGAGAATAAGCACTGCGAACAAATGATTTAAAATGCGAACAAGAAAAGAATTTGCAAAATGCATGTGTCGTACATCAAGCGACCTTTTATGTAATAACGTAGCGAATAAACACATCGACCATAATGGTTTGTGTCGCACGAATAATGTTAATACGTTGTCCATCATAATGCCCGAACATTTCAAGTCGTATC